CCATTGGCTTCGAACCAATGTTTTTAAACCCGAATAAGTGGTTAACTCGTTTTGACTTTTGGTTTTGATTGGATCAGTTAATTTAATTAAATTATGTGGTTTGATTTTTTTTGGAACATATTATAATTATTTACATATTAATTAGGAAAACGAGGAAATAAATTTCGTGTAATTTGAACATGTAATTTATAAAAATGCAATTTATAAAAGATGAATGATTCTAAGTCAAGATCCAATATCACTGGATCAAAATAAACAATTCAAATTATATGATTTGATTAAATGATATTGTAAATAAATTTTTATAAATTATATGTAGTAAATAAAATATTATGTAAAGTAAACATAATAATACTTGGTAATTGGATTAACTGGACCTTTAGGTCCAATGGTAGACCCCAAGCCTTAAGTGCTTAGGTGAGGTGGTCGAAGTTTCGAGTTCTACCACTGTCTTGATAACTTGAACTCCAGCAAAGTGGACCGATGGCCGCACGCCTTATTTGAAAGGTGGAATGGTCATCCAGTCTGGGGATTGAATCCCCAATTGCTAATAACTAATTCAAATTAACTTTATAACCATTACCCTTGTAAAAAAAAAAAAATGGTAATTGGATGGTAAAATACACTTTAAAGATCAATGAATTAAGAGCTTGAGATACTTTAATGTCAATGTTTTACCTTTTTATCATTTAAATTATAATAAATAATATTTTACATGACCTATTAATCAAAATTGAGGGTAGTTCAAAATCCAGTAGCATCTTACTCCCATTTCTTCTTAAATAAAAATGAATTTTATTCTTCGGTTTCCAACTCTTAATTAAAGATTGGAAACCGAAGTAAGAGAAAGCTGCTCGGGAAATTTTGACAGTAAATACTAAGGGGCTGTTTGCTTGTTAAGTTGTTTTTTCAAAAGAATTTTTTAGATTTTCTATGAGATTGTTTTTATATTTTTATATTAAAAGAGTAAAAGTGATAATTTTGGAACATTTTCCCCATACTTTTTGAAAAAAAAAAAAGGATTTTTCTTAATTTTTTTTATATAAAACTTACTTGATAACTTTTTTATTAATTTTTCTTACATTAACTTCTTATCAAATATAAAAAAATTAACAATATAAAAAAATTTTAACAAAATTTTATTATAAAATTTATCAAATTTTCAAACAACATTTTTTTAACCACTCTCGTAATAAAAACTTTCTTAATAAAATTTCTCATTTTAACCAAACAAGCCATAAAAATAAAAAAGATTAAAAACAAAAACAGAAACGAAGCTTATTGACGTGATCTTTCCCAAATTTAAAATAAAAATAAAGGTATTAGACAAATTTTTAATAAAAATAGATAATTAAATTTAATAATATTTTTTATTTTAAAAAATAAAAATTAATTTGAAAAAAGTGTTTATCAATTGTCTCTAAAAAATTTAATAAAA